TATTTGTAGTAGTATGTCACCGCTGAAGATGCAAAAGTTTGGATGCTATCTGAAGACAGTTCTTCTTACATAAGAAAGTTGTCCCACTTATCATGTACATTTTATACCATGAAATGTTTTCTCTGTGCTGTAAATTTAGTATTGAGGTAATTTCTTGTCAGTTGATGTAGGATCTGAATCTCCATGTTTGCCCCGTTATGTATTTGGTCTTTTATTCAGGTTTGTCTTGCAACAATGTCAATGTTAAATCTTTTCGTTATTTCATATTCATAGGAACCCTGGCTGATTTGCTTGGCGCTGTTTCACGTTACCCTGCTGATGACAGCTTTCATATCAAGGAAAAATGTCAACTTCCAATTTTGTCTATCCATTTTGGCATGTAAGAGTCTTCCTTTTCTGTCATTTAAGTAATTATCTCTGCGTTTTAATTGGATGAATAATCGTGCTCAATCCCTTCATGCAGTTTCTGGTGTATATCTTGCTGAGAGGATAAATAGTTTTCTTGGGAAAAACTGGAAGAGCTTTGCGAGCCAGAATTATTTTGATCCCCATGGTCTATTTATATCGGTCCTCTGGTCTGGCCCTCTTCTTTTGATATCTGTGGTCATTGTGGTCAGTTGCCCTGTCCCTTGCTTTTAGTATGTATCTGAATTTCGTTTCATTATGTCTCATCTTTCTTATTATCGGATATATTTCTCCTTTTTCTTCTTTAGGTGAATGCTTTATTTACATTGTGCCAACTTATCGTAAAATGGAAAAAGGCAGAGTTGAGACACCGGGCAAGGCTTTCTAACAGCAAGCAGGACTGAAGTTTCCTTCGCTTTAGAAAACCAGGAGGCATGCTTTTAGCGACAAGAGGGATGAGAAGAGATGATTGTACCAATTCTTCTTGAGTTTTAGACAGTGACGGCCACACGATTTTGTAATGCCGGATCCGCTGGGAAGTTGTTTTAGAAGTCGTGTGAATTTCGAGGTATAATATCTGACTGTGATTCCGTTATGGGGAAACTTGTTGGCATATTACTTGTTTTGGAGATGTTTCGGAGTGGTGGTTCATAATTCTGGATACATTATCAGCTGACTTTGGTTTAGGCCTCATGTTTTGATTGCCTTCTGCATGTAGGCAAAGGGGAACACAAGAGCTAGCCAATGTATTGTAAGTTCACAACTTGCGTTGCACCTTATAATTATATGGCATCAACATTTATCATCTTCCTCTAGATTAGTTGTGACTAGTTTATCAACGCATGTTATCATTATTCTTTTGACAAACATCAAATTTTAGGAAAAGATTCACTTATTTGCTTTTAACGTGGTGTGATAGGCAAGAGCACAGACACCTTTGCACTCTGAGCCAGTGAAAATAGGAACTTCCTGTCCTGTGTTAAATTTTTGATCATGAATTCAAGTTTCTTCATTTGTTTCGGTCTTCAAAGTAATACTTCACCCGTTCTACTTGATAAAGAAACACGAGTATACTCTGATCTTAACAAAGCTACTTACATGCGTTCAACTCATGCCAAGCATTTATTATTATCTCATGAAATCATGAATTTTGGTCTCTGTAAAATTATTTGGCAATGGCTCTAAATGGCATAAAATGGCCAAAAAATCATGGGTGAATTTTAGCCTTCACAAAATTAATTGCCAACAACATGTACCGCTGAAAATAGCCAAACATCACTAGTCATAGCTCATAAAATAATGAATTTTTTACTCTGTAATAAAATTATTTGCCAATTGGTTGGAAATAAAAAATGGCCACAAATCACGAGTTGTAGCTTATAAAATTATGAATTTTAGACTTCATGAAATTATTTTCTAATGAGTAGAAATGACTAAAAAGGTCGCAAATCGTGGATTATATCTTAAGAAATGCTGAATTTTGGGCTCCGTAAAATTATTTGTCAATAATTAAGAATGACTAAAAATGGCCACAAACCGTTGGTTATAACTCATGAAATCGTGAGTTTTGACCTCTGTAAAATTATTTGTTAATGGTTCAAATGACTAAAAATAACCAATCATCGATTATAGATCATAAAGTATCAAAATTTGGCCTCTCGAAATTATTTGAAATGGCTCGGGATGACTTAGAACGGCCAAAAATCATATGTTATAGCTCATGAAATCATAAATTTTAGACTCTGCAAAATTATTTTTCAATCGATAGAAAAGACTAAAAAGACCATAAAGCATGGCTTATATCTCATAAAATCGTAAATTTTGACATATGTGAAATTATTTTCCAATGGGTAAAAAAGGCTAAAATAGCACAAAATCATGGGTAGTAACTTACAAAACCGTGAATTGTGGCATCCACAAAACTATTTTTGAATGGGTTATAGCTCACGAAATTGTGAATTTCAGGCTCTACAAAATTATTTGCAAATAGGTAGAAATGACTTTAAATCACATGTTATAGCTCATGAAAAACATAAATTTTAGCCTCTACAAATTTAATTGCTAATGGCCTGAAATGAAAAAAAAAATTAAAAAAATTATGGATTATAGATTACGAAATGTGAATTTTGGCCACTAGGAATGTTTTATGTCAAAGTATTTTGAAATAACTCAAGAAACAATGAAACAATAGTTCTCTCCTATTAATCTTTTGGAACACAACAAATAAATAATATTATGGTGTATTTATCTATACTTGATATTCTAGAAAGCTATACTAGTAGAGACTAGATGCCTGCTCCGTGAACCATGCGAATAAAATAGCATCGTTGTTTAAATACTTATATGAGATTGAGCCAGGCTGCTTTGAAAGTTCTTGAAGATGAATAATGGACTTCTTGTCAATGTTGAGTTAAACTTGTTGCACGTGTGTGTGAGCTTGTTAATTTGTTAGAGAGAGGATCGAGTCTATAGTTTGATTGGTGTGAGTTTGTTAGTTTGTTAGAAGAGGACCTAGTCTAGTGGGGGTGTTAGCTTCAACAGGTGTGAGTTTGTTAGTTTGTTAGAGGAGGACCTAGTCTAGTGGGGTTGTTAGCTCCAACAGAGTTCAACGTGGGGGGTTGTTAGTTTCTCTCTTGTATAAATTGCTGAGCTCTATTGTGATCAAAAGTATCCAGCTAATCTCTCCTTCTTTAATAAAAAAAAAGAGTGTCCTCCCACTTCCTCTGCTCTATTCTATTCTGTTTTGTTTTTCCATCTGCAATGAAGATTCCTCTGTTTTATCTTTCAATTAGCAGTGAAAGCTTTGAGTTCCTGCAATCTGCAGTGAAGAGCTTTGAGTCCTTGCAACCCAATTTTCTACATTTGGTATCAGAGTCGCGGTGTGTGAACGCCTAAGATCATGGCAAGATCGGAATCTCCATCATCGTCGAGTCATGTCACCGGCGGAGATATGACAGAGAAGGAGGGAAGAGAGGAGAGTATTACACTCAAATACCCAATGCTAACGAGCAGCAACTACCCGGCGTGGTCCATCAAAATGAAGGTCTACATGCAGGCTCAGGGCGTGTGGGACGCCATCGAGGCCGAGGGTAGTGTCGACAACCGGCGCGACAAGATGGCACTCGCAGCCATCTACCAGGGGGTGAACGAGGAGATCCTCCTTCTCCTCGCCAAGAAGACGACGACCAAAGATGCGTGGGCTGCGTTGAAGTCCATGTACGTGGGGGCCGATCGTGTGACGAGGGCGAAACTGCAGACCCTCAAGACAGAGTTCGAGGCTCTCCGTATGCGAGAAGGGGAGTCCATCGATGAGTTCACTGTGCGGCTGAACACGGTGGTCAGCAAAATGCGCGCCATGAGGGAGAAGATGGATGACATTGCTGTGGTGGAGAAGGTGTTGCGAGTGGTGACACCGAAGTTCCTGCAAATCGCATCTACGTTGGAGCAGTTCGGTGACTTGAGTGAGATGACGGCCGAGGAGGTGTTTGGCCGGCTCAAAGCACATGAGGAGCGGCTGCGAGGTTTTGAAGACAAAGAGAGTGAACACTCGCTGCAATGACATTGCTGTGGTGGAGAAGGTGTTGCGAGCGGTGACACCGAAGTTCCTGCAAATCTCATCCACGTTGGAGCAGTTCGGTGACTTGAGTGAGATGACGGCTGAGGAGGTGTTTGGCCGGCTCAAAGCACATGAGGAGCGACTGCGAGGTTTTGACGACAAAGAGAGTGAACACTCGCTGCTGATCCGGGCCGAATGGGAGGCTAAGACAAAGAAAAAAAGGAGGAGAGGGCTTCGGTAGTGGCTGGAAAGAACGAGACGGAG